AGTAATCTTGCACTGAAATCGAAAATTCTAGATTCGTCACCCAGTAATTACTGGAGTTAAAATTCTGGGACCAGGAGCGTTGAAAGTGAAAACTGTTACAAATAACGACTTCCTGTTTCAGGGCTTCAAATTTTGGTGTGTCTCTGGTTATTTAAAATGTATCAATGACAGAATTTATACGACGGTCTAATATTCTAAACTGCCCATTCAATAAATTTTTCGTATGCAGGAATATTTTCCTGTATTTTACGTCTTCCTATACTTATAATTTGTGTTCACCATCCAGAGCAAGAAACCATGATATTCATGTCTATCTTTGTCACTGGGTTGTAACGACGCGTGGAATTGTTGGTAGATGCTAACGTTTTAATCTTTATTGCGGAGATGAAGACAGCGTGTTATCCGAAACGTCGGTATGTACCTACAACTCCACGCAGTGTTACTACCCAGAAGACCAACATCGATTGACAACTTTCTAGAGTATTCGTAATATTCGCGAAGCCACCTGATATTGCCTACAAAGACAACATCTGGTGTAACTTTTACCTTTCATGGAACGAGTGAATCACGACCTCGTCTCATCATGCAGGAAGTATTCAACTTCCGGCTTGCAAGAAACGTGTTTAAAGATCTGATTTTCACGCAAAATTTCATAGAATATACTTTCTTCCGTTCTTTTTAACAGCACTGCTAGGTGGGTTATCAGGTTCGGATGGATACGGCCTCCAGACATGGACCGCAGCTGCAAATGTATTAAAGATGGGGCGCTGAACGAGAGAATAACAATTTCTCATCGTAAAAACAATAAGTTAATGCAAATTTTGTGAACACTGTAGTAAATCTCCAAAATCCATTCACGTCGGAGATTTTTTGACAAGCTGCAATGTTGGTGTACAATCATAAAACTACGCGGCATACCAACATGAAATATTATAACATAAAAATATAATTGTGTTTGTTTTCATTGATATAACATTAACCAATCTTCTGTTATCATGGTGTAAATTAAAAGATCCCTTGCACAGAAAGAAAGAAAATTCAGGTAACATCAGATATGAGCTAACACATGCTGTAAAATATAATAATCTGTGTACCAGATATTGAAGAAATGTAAGGAAGGATCCATTCAATTAAAGATCAAAATACCCATGACGTCAGCCAGGCATACATCCATACATTCTTATATTAAATTTCCAACCCAGGTAGGATCAGCCTAAGTTGTAACCTCAACTTGATTATCATAGGGGTTAGAAGGATAATGTTGCTGCATCGTAAGTCAGATACTAGATTAAAGAATTGTGCCGTTAAATGGAACAGGGTGTGCGATAACTACTGGATTGGTGTGGATAGACCGAAGCCCAGAACACAGTACACAGAGAACACCTTCATGATACCTTATTACAGACAGAAAGCAAAAAGCTAAACAAGTACGTCACATCTGCTGCAGCAGCATCTGTCGCCTTAAATCTACGTGAATTGAAAGTATTTTTCAGTCAGAGTCATCGCCAAGCACATCTTAAGAGCACACCTGTCTTGCCTGATCATCATTTTATTTTGGAACTAGACCAGCCCACGCAAAACTAGACTTTTTCTGTCTTTCTGTTCAGGACTGCAACAAGATGCTACTTCCTGTCACGTCTAGCTGTTATATATTTAGTTGCCTATATGTTGAGCCTAAATTGAATTTTACCCGACTGGAAGTACTGTATGGATTACAACGGCGAATGCTCCGGTCTGGGAAAGTGCGCAACCAGACCACTAAAACTGGAGGAATATAAAAGAAATTCTTTACAATATTACTCAAAACTTTCATCATATAAAAGACACCTTAGCATTGTAAGGACTAATCCGATTTGGATATTATACGAATATAGAATTGTAGTTCAATTTACCACATTCGGTCATCATAACATTTCTTTGTAGATAAATGACGCTTCGTGACATGTGGGATTCAGTTTCGCACTAGAAGATTAGAGTGCTAGTTTATGTTGTCATTTCTGTATAAATTTAGGAGAATTTCTTTTGAAAATCTGTATTCTCTTTTTTGCCTTAACACATTTTCGTGTACGTTGACCTGTTCGTACAATTGTAGTAGCAAATATACGGCTGAGAGACTCAGTGGTTTATTCTAAGTCTACCAAAAAAAATTACAATTTATGAAATACTTTAAAACACGGTGCTTAGAAAACGTACCAACTTCTATAAAAATCAGAAACTCTACATTTTTCCTATAGAGTATACTTATTAATTCTTCTGTATGATTCTTAGACTAAACATAGATTATTTACTTACATAGTATTGGACATGTTATCGTTGTAATGCTGAAGTGTTGTAAGTGATGTTTAAGGTACGAACAGAATATCATGTAGATAATTTTCGGCTTAAGAATTTGAATTGCAAACGACGTTCCGAAATACAGATTAAAATCTAAACCTAAAATATGGCTCGGTTTGAGGACATTTTCAAGTCGGAAAGCTTCATGATTTCATGTCTCATTTGTATGCAACACTGGGAATACTGGAGTAAGGCAGTGTTACTCAACAAAACCCATGATGTTGAAAAAAGACCAACAAATTATACATTTCTTGTACATCTTACATGACAGAACAAGTAATTTTGTATAAGTGGGGTCTGAGGTTTTCACGGCGGTGAGTGTGAAGTTGGCTGTCTTCTGGGTTGCTGCGCCGTTTAGTCTAGTACAAGTTTACCGACGTTTCAGAGGTCCTTGCCTTCCACTAGACTACACGGCGAAAGAACCCAGAAGACAGCATTTTTAATAAGTATCCTTGGATAATCTACATATCTGGAAATTGCCTGCTTAAGTAGGCCTGCAATAGAATGAAATATGATTCTAACAGCCTGTTTAATTCAATCGCCCTCTTCGTTAATTATGTTTCTATGACTGTATTTATGAAACGTCACAAATGAGCGGTTAGTACGCCTACTTCGTATTCGATAATCGAAATCAAATTCAAATTTCAACGCGGAGGCTATCAATTTTGATAGAGGCTTTTGCGTCTCTTCCGGTCAATCACAAGGTCTCGCAATCTTCGCAACTTAATTTAAATCTATCTTAATAATATCATCTCATATAATAAATTGTCTAGTTGAACTCATCCTTTCAGGTTTTCCGACGAAAATGTCTTACATATTTTTCATCTTTCCCTTCGGGGCATCCGATTCAACCGCTTAGAAAATTTTTGGTGATCAGTAATTGTGAAGCTACATTTAGTGCTGATGCTACTAATTTAACACACGCTTGATTGTAGTATTAATTATCCATTTTATTACATTTAAGAATAATAAAGATAACGCAGTTAACACAGCCCCCTTCTCTGTAGTAATTCTTGTACTGATGCATATAGTCTGATACCTTGATTCCACGCAACAAACTCTTCTTGACGATTTAACAGTCGCTCAGTTAGTTACGAGTTTACTCTCTTTTTTGAAAAAAGATTTTCGACTGCCGAATTCAGACAAGCCTGCAGCAGGCTCTTATCGTGAGCCAAATTAATCCAATCCATCCCTTTCAACCATATTCCATAAGATCCCTTTTAATATTTTCTTCCCATGTACGCCTAGGTCTTGCGCTTTCTCTGTTCTCTTCAGGCTTTCTAGGCAACATGATGTCCAGATGAATCTTAAATTAATACTGCAAATAATAATATTTATATTCAATAAGGGATTATGAATGTTACAACGGATTAATTGATGTCATAGGACTGCAGGTATTGCACGGTTCTGAACTAGTACAAAACTTTTACGTTGTCGCATCGTGTAAAATGGCATAGAATATAAAGATCTTAAATTGTGGCGACCTTGGAACTGATTTTCCTGGTCCGCTAGAAGATAAAATCTGGTTCAAATAAAAAAATTCAGAATGAGTTAGCTCATCAATTAGAGTGAGGATGGCAAACATTTCAACTTGGCGAAGTTCATTTCTCTTGTGTGCCAAGAAAGCTTGCCGTTCATTTAAATGATCATAATCAACCTGTCTGGCCTGTTACAGTTCCTCCTGAGCGTCCTCTTCCGCTGGACTCATGTTATACGGAATCCTGTCTAATCTCATTATTTTAACATTTTTCATCATTGAATACCGTTGATGGACTTTATACTTAATACTATCATTGTCATCTCTTTTATGGCAGCGAAGGATCATTGTCCTTGCCTCATGGAACGCATTTCAAAGCATTACAATTCTCTCGCATCCTGCCACCTTGTGGCTCGTTCTTCGCCATATCACATCATAATATTTGCTGTTTGTTTATTTCCTTTCTTTCAGTAGGCGTCGTTCCTCTTATTTTAGTTGCTTCAGACATGCTCGACCAAGTATAACGACTGCACGCCTGTTTCATCTATGTGGAACTTGAAGACGGTTACAATTCTGGGTTGTTGCTTCGTGTGTCCTGATAGACGTTTACCAACGTTTTAGTGGCACATACTGCCTCTATCATCAGGGTGAACGCCCACGGCGCAAGAACCTAGAAGACAGTTATCTTAATAATCGCCGCCATGAAAACTTCAAATTCCGCTGTGTAGAAATTGGTATTTCGCAAATGCACAGTAGAAACAGAGCTTGAGGAAAGGGTCGTGAGGAGAATATTTGGACCGAAGAGAGAAGAATAAATATAAAATCTACAAATACTTTAGGTTGAAACTGCTCCCTTTTAACTGCTTAAACTGTTTAATTTGGACTCAGAGAAGTTTATCATTACCTGAAATGCTCCGTATCACCGAGAGAAAGCGCCAGCCACCAAATTATGTTAGTCACCTTAGTGTATGAAAGGGGTAACAGATGACAGTGGAAAATACAAAGGATTAGATGAAAAATTTCTGAACTGGTGAAAGGCAACATAAATTTTGAACACTCATTCGTTAGATTGATAGGTGGGGGCAATTCATTTCCTTCTGTGTTATAAGCTGGCCCTATGTTGCACATTTTGGAGATTGTTACCTCCCTGTAAAGAATAATGAATATAAAAGGGGATATCAGTGTGTGGAGTAACACACATCTCTACAGAAGAATGGCACGCGCTCTGGTAAGTTGTGCCTCGCAGTATTTAAAGTTCAAGTTTGCGTTTATTTAATGTTCTTTTCTGTTATAGGTCTAGTCACTTGTGTAAATTTTCGTTTTTAGCCTACTTTCCATTATTAACAGGAAAAAGTAGACTTATGAGATCAACAATCTGACCTCGCATGTGTATCCCCTATAAAACCTTAAGCCAATTCATTGATTTTCGCGATATTTGGTATGAACTTCATATTGCTTGCTACGTAAATCTCGTGGGTCTTAAATTTCTTACAATCAATGCCAACAACATAGCTGGCTCAATTTATGGATCAATAGGCCAATAGCGCCAGTTAGGGGCAAACATAGATTCCAGAAGCAATATATGACAAAAGAACTTAGAAAAACGAAGCTTTTAATGACGTAATTTTTATGGGATGTAAAACAATAATATGATGGTTACATGCTTATCTTCAGTTTTGATGACAATAATTGGTTAGGCTCTTTTTACTGATTTTGTGCACCGTAGATGTGGATAGTCCAAAGTTTGTAGTCACATGATCACTGCCAAAGTGCTAATGATTCGGCAGTTCACTAGTAAAAGTGATTATATTACTTGTATTTTCCAATGATAAATTTAACTCCGTAATTTTCTGCTAAATCCCGTTCTGTGGTATTTTTGCTTATCAAATCCTATAATAAACGTCATTCACAAATCAAAGAGATACATTTTTCGTTGTCAGTCAACATGGATTAGTCACTGCTTGCAACAGTTGGAAATAACAGAAGATATTAACTTAAGATTTTGTTCCCTTGTTTCCCGATCCTCTGGAACAGGGATCAGCAAGCTGGCACAATTTCAAGGTGTGGGCCGTACAGCCTGGTAAGACGATTACTCAATTTCTAGAGTTTTTAAACAGATATCAGTTATCCGAGCCGACTGGTTATAGTTTATAAATATACGAAACAGCATTTAAATTATATAATTAACAATTAATTTTGACACGACCTCCTGAACTCCGACTCGAGTGCTCCTATCGCAATTAGGTCTTAATCCAAACAGAAAATAATGTAAGGAAGTGATACCTTTTTGATACAGCGGCCTGTCGCCTATTTGGAGTAGTTCTGTTGGAGTTAAATCGTTACCTTCAGATTTATAACATCTTAATTTCCGGAAGTTGGTCGTGTAAGCACCTGAAAACAATGCGCAGGTTTGGCCTATAGGCGAAAGTTTCACGCCCCTATCGTGGTGGCTGACCAGTAC